ACACACACACACACACACACACACACACACACACACACACACACACAATCATTTTAAGGTAGATGACACCTGAGGGTGAAACCTCAGGTTGACCTCTGGCCTTCACATGTATGCAAGTCCACACACTCACTCACACACACACACTCACACACAAAGATATCCAGTAGATAGAACACAAACCTTATAATGTAATTAGCCTATTTTATATACGTGCATAGCCTGTCATTGATTTTTACTATACCTGAATTTTGACCATGACCCATCTCCGGAAGTTAAGGGTGGAGTTTTTCCACTTCTGGCCACCTATCAGCCCTCAAATGTTTGATGTGTCCATGTGCTTTGAATTTCTGGGTTCATCATACTCTACCTCACTTCCATTTCATGGAACATAAAAGCAAGGTCAAAGAACACTAGCCATCTTTTCGGCATCCTGCAGCCTGCCTTGACTCGGCTCCAACCCACTGCACTCTAGCGCCCGGGTTTTTAGAGGAACAGAATAAATGGTCCAGCAGAGAAGTGCCTGGTGCCGAATTTGGACTCAGCTGTCTGGGTTCATCTGTTGGCTGCCTGTTTCACTAACTGCTGTGAAGTCTCAGACCTATTACCTTCTTTTCCAAGTCTGCCTTCCCTATCTGTAAAAAGGAGCGTAACGACAATTGTACTGATCTCATAGGGTTCTTGGGAACATTATATGTGATCATGAATATAGAACACTTAGCATGAGGCCTGGAATGGAAAATGTGCTCAATAACGTGAGTGAGAAATCATATTATGCTTTCCATTCCAGACACTGACTTTCAGAAGGGGCCCCTGAGTCACTGTGGCTTGGGGGTAAAGCCAGATAGCTCCTCAAAGCACACGCTTCCTCTCACTCTCCCCTCTCAGAAACCTCTGTGTGGGGCATGGACTCACATAAAGAACCAGACAGCCAGGGACTCTGCCTTCCAGCTACTGGAGAGGGGTCTGAGGCTCCAGCAGGCGAGAGAGTAGGAGGGTACATCTGGGCCCACAGTGGAGGCTCTCCTGGCCCGGCGCCTCAGGCTCTGTTGGCAGTAAGCACACAGCCAGGAAGTCCCAGTCCCATGCCATCACAGGCACTGGCAGCAACAGAAGATGGGACAGGCTCTTCTCAGGCAGATGGTGAGCAGGTGGTGGTGGCAGTGGGAGGGCTCCCATGATCACCCCGGCCTGGCATGCACTCAAGTTACTGAACCCATGGCTTAATATATACATACATATATATGTATATATTTTATATATATATGTAGCAGACACTTCCCCAGGCCTGGAGCTGGTCCTATAAAGTACAGCTTGCATGTCCCAATGGAGTACAGGATCCATGTCCAGAGTGTAGGGTCTTTGTCCCAAGACAGAAGCAGGAGCCATGGGGGCAAAAGGATCTATGGGCAAGTCAAGTGTCTACAGTTCGTGCCTTGGGGTCATCCACTCAGAGGTTTTGTCCTCATTACTCCTTCTACCTGGCATGAGCTTCCCCACCTGCCGCCCACTGGCTCCTTCTCAACTCATACCTACCCTGAAGAGGAACTTGGTCCAAAGGAACTCTCCGTCTCTCCAAACCATTGCAGCTCTTAGGATGGCCTGGCCTTGGACTCATCTATGGAACTTGGGAACAAATGCAGGCACCAAAGCTATAGTACAGATTGACCAGTCGAGGAGGAACTGGGGTAGGATGTCCCTTTGTAGAACATGGGTCTACAAGTTATACCTTAGCTCCCCCTGCTCATGTTATTTAAACCTCAATAAAACAAATAGCAAGCAGCATCTGCTAGCTTTTACAGAATGCCTACTGTGTGCCGGGTGTGTTTGCATAGTGCTTTTCTTCTGTGAAAACTCCCAAGTAGTTCCCATAGCAACCCTGTAAGAGGTTAAAGGGCTTGTGCTATTGCCAGCCAGGAAAAGGTGGAGCTGGAAATCAAAACTCACCGGGACCTCCAACCCATACTCATGTCCACCATTTTAGGACAGAAAAGCCTGCGAATTCTGGGAATTGGTCATGCTAGAACTCTGGCCTCTCAGCACACTTCCCCATCTCATAAGGAGCGAGGGGCCAGAGTCATTGACTCCCTTTGTCTTGTATTGACCTTCTCACTTCCATCTCGGCTTTCATCCCAAAGGATGTTGGGAAGTCCCTGGTGTCTCCTGGGTCACAGTAGCCACCAAAAGCCTCACTTACCAGATGCTTCTCCTTCATTTTTTCCTCAGGGCAAGGACTGCACGGTGCCCATCAACACTTGCGTCCAGAACCCCTGCCAGCATGGAGGTACCTGCCACTTGAGTGAGAACCACAAAGACGGATACAGGTAATAGCTCAGCCCTGACCTTCCCTCTTCTCAGAGAGCTTCCGGGTCAGACTCCTGTATGGGAATGATGTCAGTGGGGAAGTATAATGCCTGTTCTATACAGGAGGAAACTGAGGCACCAAAGGATAAACCCTCTCCCTAGAGTTACAAAGCATGGGCACAGGGATTTGAATCCAAGTGCCAGCCTCCACTCTCTGAGGCAGGAGGTTCCTAAGGGAGGCTGCGGATGCTGGCTAAAGGACGGGACACTGGCAAGGAAACCCACCACTCTTTTCTGTGTCATACATAATGACAGGGGCTACTGCTGCCACATTCTGTGTGGCAGGTGGGAGCTACTCCGTTATCTCAGGGGGGTGTGCATTGAGCTTAGAGAACACTGAGACACAAAGACTAATGGCATCATATCCTGCCTCTGCTTCCTCTATCTTCTGATCACACTTCACAGTGGGTTCCCACAGCACATCAGGCTAGGCAGCAGTCCCTTCACAATAAAGATGAGACCCTGGGGCCAGGCAGGCACTGGGTGACATCAAAACCCAAATGGCATATCAAAAGCCCTCCAGCCAGAGGCTGCTGTGTGGGCTGGGAAAGAAACCTCCAGAGAACCCAACTGGCTCATGTCTCCCCGTACCAACCCAGCTCCACCCAAACAGGACTCCTGAAAAGTAGAACACAGGTGCTGTTCCTGTTTCTGTCTGGAGTCAGCCAAACCACCCACTTCTCCTGTTTGTTCACCAAGAACTGGAGAGGAAGAGCCATGGCGGCCTCCGCCAGGAAGTATATTCCTGGTGTGGACAGTGGACTGTGCCCCCACTCAAGCCTGAGGCAGGGTCAGCGTCCTGCTTCACCCTTCGTCATGTGGGCTGGAAACTTAACTATGAGCTATGTAGGGAATTGATATCTGTATGTGCTCCCGGGAGGAGCGCCTGCTGCTGTTGTACAGCGCTATGGCTGGCAGGCAGGCAGGCAGGCAGAAATACAGTAGGGGTCTTCTGAAGAATAACTTCGCTGCCCTCTTCAGTCCTGAGTCATTTACTAGGGTTTCCCAACTGCCCAGACACGGAAGCTTAACACCATTGAAATATTCTCTACAGCTCTGGAGGACTGGACCCAGCTCTGTATAAAACCAGTGGGAGCAGTAGGACGCCCTGTCCAGTCCTGGATTCTGCTTTACTGAAGTCTTGGGAATTCCTTGGCTTCTAGCTGCATCATTCTAGCTCCCATCGGCAACATCACGGATATAGCACCAGGGCTATATCTGTCTCCCCAAAGCCCTCCTCTGACAACAGTGGTTCTCAACCTGTGGGTCATGAACCCGTTTGAGTCAAATGCCCCTTTTACAGGGGTTGCATATCAGATATCTTACATATTGGATATTTATATTAGAGCTCATAACAGTAGCAAAATTACAGTTGTGGCGTGGCAACGAAATAATTTTATTGATGAGGATCACCATAACATGAGGTGTTAAAGGGTCGCAGCATTAGGAAGTTTGAGAACCACTGTCTTACAGGAATGCCATAGTGGATTAGGAATCTGCCCTCCTACGACTTCAACACATCATCATAGCTGCAATCAGCCCCAATTCCAATAAGGTCATATTCGAGGTCCAGAGGAGTAGTACTATTTTTGGATAACCACAGTCCAACAAATAGCATCTCTAAAGTGTCAGCTGCCCTCTCCACTCAGGTGCTACTGTATCTTGCTGCATTGTCTGCTCACCACCTGAGCAAAGGCCAAGGCTGAAACAATAGCTCATCTGCAGAGCATTTCTGCAAGAAATTGTAAAACTAACAAGCCAATAAACAAATTAAGTAAGTAGATTGATTGATTGATTGATTGACTGATTGATCGATTGGTTAAAAAAAAAAAAAAGACACAGGGCTAACCATAAGGAAAAAAAAAAAAAGGAAGATAAAATCTCAAAATCTTAACGTGGTCCTCACTGCTAACTAACTGCTCCTGGAGTCTCCCTGGCTAGGGCTTCTCAAATTATTTCTACTTGTGACCTTTTTTTTGCCCTGAATATTTTTATTCAACCCTGGCTATAAAAGTATATAGAAAAAGTCAGGACCAGAGAAATGGCTCAGTGATTGAGCAGGCTGACTACCCTTCCAGAGAACCTATATTTGATTTTCAAAGCTCTTGTGGTAGTTCACAACCGTCTGTAACTCCAAGTTCAGTGATCCAGTGCCCTCTTCTGATAGACATGGGTACTGCATGCATATGGCACACATACATACATGCAAGAACGCCTATACACACAAATATTTTAATACTTTCAAGTATGTGGAAAAGTCATATTCTTGGATACCTAGGGTATAAAAAGAATTATAAATTTATTTTTAAACAATTCTTAGGTATGTGTCTACATTATATATCATTAACATATATTTTAATATTTATTAAAGACAAACACAAATTTGTATGCTAAGATTAATTGTTGGCTAAATTTTGATACGTTGGACATAGAGCACCTTCAATGTTTTTTAGAACTGATAGATATTTTTATTTTAAGAACACCAGTTCTTAGAACAGAGCTTTGCATAAAGACATGGTACAAAATGACAGAAGTATATTTAGGACCATTTCAAAAAATTGCTGGAAATTCTATCCTAAACCCAAGCCAAAATCCACTTAGCAACTTTTTATGACGCTCAAGTCAGCAACTCCAGTAGCATTTTTAGAGCATTATTTATTCCTTGGCGATTTCACACATATGTACAATGGATCTTGGTCGTATCCAACCCAAATAGCCCCTCCCACTCTGCCCAGGTCTCAAACAAATACATCTGCCTTTCAACCTTGTGTCCTTTTTATGTAATAGCCCACTGGGCCCTATTAGTACTGCCTGCATGTGTGTGGGTGTGGGGCCATCCACCAGAGCACGGGCAGCCTACCAACAGCCATAGCCCAGAAGAAAAATGGCCCTATCCCCAGCAGCCATCAGTTTGCCCTTTAATTAGGAATTTCCCCCACCCCGTGCAGCAATGTTGACTGGCCTGACCTTATGCAGGTCTTGTCTAGTTAACCATAACTGCTGTGAGTTCATCAGCACAACCACCATGTCATTCGAGAAAGAAGGTATTTCAAGGCACTCCTTACCATCCACCAACTCTTAGACTCTTTGCACATCCCCTTCTTGATGTTCCTCACGAGCCTTGGGGGGAGTTGTTGTAATTGTCTCATTTCAGGCTGAATACTCAGTTATCACTCATACTCCACATTTGAGCACCCAGCTTTGACAGTAGCTCTAATCTACGGGTACAAACATAAATATTTAGAGCCATCTGACAATATGTCCCTTTAGCAAAATAACAGTAGTAGGTTCCCACCCGAGCCTGTGGCCTCCTGAGCCATGGGCTTTTGACCAGGTGTACAGTGTCAGGCAGCAATTCCCTCCCAGGAAGTAGGCCTAAGATCCAATCAGAAATTGGTTACACCCATAACAGTCACCTTTGCTATGTCTTGCCTGGAAGATCAGTGTTGTGGCATGCGAGCTCTACCCCAGGTAAGCCCATTAAGAACGCTTTTCTCCCTCAATATCCTGAGGAGAACCTTCTGGCATTATGAAATCTAGTCAACAGAGAGAACACTTCTCAATCAGTGCTAGCTTGATTTCTATATTTATTTATGCCCTACAACCAAAGTGTTCAAACAGCAATTTTTAAAATTAAACATCCTAACACTATACAATCCAAAGATACACCAAACTGATGAGGAGCGACGGTAGGAAAATATTAGAAGTCTTTACTATCTTAGTTTTTAAAGCTTTACTAATATTCACATTTCTGTATTCAAACCATTACGTTTCCATAACTGTGGAGGATGGCATGTGTGCAGTAAAAACCACTGCCGTTCATAAGATGGGAAATTCTCCTGTCTGGGCAGAGGTGTTTCGGGCAGTGTGCAAAGTGCAAAGTGCACACTTAGGCTCAGAACCAACGCTGCAGAGAAGTCACGTGATGTGGCCCCCAGCGAGTACTGCCGAAAACACCTGGGGTTCATTATGCATTTGATTTTTAATTAAATGTTGGACTGCGTTCGTCCCAAAACCTTTTACTGTTGCCAGAATTTTCACAATCACTACATTCAGCTACAGGATCCCATGGGGGGGGGGGGGGGGCACAATCTGCCATTTTAAAAACTTCTTCTTGAGAACCCCTTCCACATACCTAATGAGGACAGAGGAGACTTTGACATCCTCCCCACCCTCTTTTCAACCATTAGTAACATCTGCTTTGTTGACCAGCCATCATGCCTGTTGCCCCTGCCAGGCAAGCCCAAGACCCCGGGAAGGCCCAAGGAATTGGTTTTGGGGGGAAAACCAACAGTTTGAGTACCTGCCCATGTGTGGCTATGAAGAACTGTCGCTTTTCATGATGCCCTGGGGCCATAACAGAAAGGTGAATTGTTGTTGTTGTTGTTTGTTTTGGTTTTGTTTGCTTTGCTCTTCATGAGCTCTACCCTGAAAAGTCCTTGAACTTTTGTAGGAAATGTAATGTGATTTTCAGGTTGTAAGGAAGTGAGTAAAGTAAGATTCTGGGGCCGTGAGATTGGCTTGCTCTTAGTTTAGTTTACTTTTTAATCCCTATGCAAAGCAGAGGCCTGGACTTCACGTCTAAAGCTGGGGCCATTTTCCTGGATGGCCTTGACTCCCTGACGAGAACTTGGGCCCTGATAGAGGTCACTCCACAGAAGCACCTCCTCAGACACCAGATCCCTCCCACCCCTCAGCACTTCTAACTCCTGGCTGCTTCACTGCGGCCCAGGCTTTATCTGCTGTCATTTAACCTCTCGTGCCCACGCCTATGAGCAAGGTAAAGCAGGGACAGGGGAGGGGGAGGTAATCTCAAACAGATGTACCCCACAGAGGTGCATCCGCTGATGGACATCCTGTCAGATAAGCTCACAAAGGGTCCTCGGTCTTGACAGAAGAGGGTTCCTCCCATCCCATCTCCTCAGAAGCCAGGGTGGTAGGACACAGCAGGAATGGCAATAGGGGAGATGGTTGTGGTGAGTTTTTTTTTTTTTCCTAGAACTGAGTATCAAGAGTGATTTTTCTGTTACCGTGTGCCCCTCCACTTGTTTTATACAATCATTAAATCTCATGAATACCCAAGGTCAGACATCTAGAAAGCACAGTGCATTCCCTCGGTGCCCAGTTGCCGAGCTGCGGCCTTGACCGAGACGCCCTGTTTACCCCTCAACATAGAAAGTCTGCCTTAGAATGACACATGGGGGGGGGGGGGAGCAGAGTTACTTTTCTGACCCTCCCTTTCTACTCCACAGAGGAGGCTAAGGAAATGGGGATTCAGATACACTGCAGGGATTTTTGCCATTTCCAGGAAACCACTTCCAGCTTTGAGACAGGAGTAGCCAGCCTTGCTGGTGTTATGCAACAGGCAAGGTAGGGGGCCGGAACATTGCCTGGAAATGAGTAGCTAGACGGAATGACTTTATAGGTCCCCAAGTGTCTTCCTACCCCAAGGCCTCCGTGTCCAATGTTCTTAGACCTCCAGCCACAAGAGAAACCTGAAAATTGTGTTTTCTGCCCCTCCCCACCCCCCCACTCCCCCCTACTCTCCCCACCCCCCGCCTTCCTGCCTACCTCCACAACCCTCCCTGTTTCCTGATCCCGGAACTCCCTCCTCTCTACACACATCCCTAAAAGCTGCTCCTGCCCCCTGGGCTTTGAGGGACAACGGTGTGAGATCAACCCGGATGACTGTGAGGACAACGACTGTGAGAACAATGCCACCTGCGTGGACGGGGTCAACAACTACGCATGCGTGTGCCCGCCTAACTACACAGGTAAGGACACCGAGGGGTGCACTCACGCTGGTGTGTTTGTCAGGTGGAGTGTGGGTGAGGATATCCCTAAGAGGATGCAATTTTCTTAGTGACATCCCTGAAGGAGGGGAGATGCCACCCCCTCCCTGTAGTAAGGGACTGATAGGCCAAGACCAAGAGAGGCTTCCCCAGTACCTTCTGTGTCGTTCATCCCTCTCCTCCATCTTCACCCTGTCCCAAGTAAACCTCTAATTTCTCCCCACTTTGGAGCGTACCCACGAGGCTCTCCCATCTGCCCTGTCCAGCGTTTATGGCTACCACCCCTCCCCCCCCTTTTAGGAACCCCACATGTTTGAAGCTAGGCAGAGAGGTGCTTTCGCTGCTGGTGCTTTGTTTAGGTCTGGAAATCTGCCTTCCAGACGACTCTCCTAGAAGCTGGGAATGCAAAACTGAGCAAGACCCAGTTCCTTCTCATAGGAGGCTTAAGGGTCAGACTAAGAAACACGAGCTTCAACTGGAGGAGAAGTCCAGGGAGTTGTGAGACCATATTGGAGAACCTATCCCATCTGGTGATTATACAGAAGGCTCCCCTGGGAAGGGTTCCTCCAGAATGCCTTCCCGCCCAACGGACACCAATGCCTGTTGCCTCTACATCCACAGCCTTTCATGAGTAGCGTGAAATATACCATTAGTTTGGGAAACAAAATGTCACCAGCATATCCCCGACTGCGCCTCCATGAATTCTCTGAAGAGTGAACCTATAGAACGTGCCTCTGAGGTTTTAGAAGACAGTAATAAGTATGAAACTGTGAGGAACGTTGCATATGATAATAGCCGTCTTCTTGGATCCATGACCCAAACTGAGAGTTGTAAACATTCCTGTTTCACAGGAGGCTGTTTGTGTTCATTCCCAACGTATTTGATCTCTTCTTATCCGACCCTGCAACACCATTACAAACCTAGATATGTTTTGTTACAAGTAACGCCATTTGGAAATCCAGACTTAAGACAAGGAGAAATGTGAAGGTCCTATTAGGGGTTCCCACACCCTAGTCCATGGAGCCATGCTCACTTGTGAAGTGGAACGGGAGAAGAGAAGTACTGGAGTACAGGGTACAGCATCCGGAAGCCGTTGTCATGCCTGCAGAGGAAGACATGCAGACAATCCCTTTGCCCCTCAGAGACTTTGCTATCAAGCCCTCACTCGGCCTAACACCCACGGATTCCCAAGAACAGCTTTGGAACTCCTGGCCTGTACCAAGGCCAGTAGGAAAGACTATCTACTCTCTTAGCTCCAGGCTCCCTGGATGCAGGCAAGGCTTTATGCTGGAAGCATGTTTAGGGAAACCTCCCTATGCCCTACCTCTCACCATCCTCTGAGAGCATGGGTGTAACCAAGAGTTGCCATTGGCAACAGGCAACTGTTATTGGGTACTTAGGACATGCAGAACACTGAATGAACCCCTAGAGATAACAAGTCTACAGTATGGCTTCCGCCTACCTCAGACAAGAAGAAGTCCTTTGCAGCATTAAATTTTTGTTCCAAAAGAATATGCTCAGCCAGGCAGAGGTGGCACACACCTTTAATTCCAGTACTTCAGAGTCAGGCAGATCTCTGTGAGTTCGAGGCCAGCGTGGTCTACGGAGGCCAGCGTGGTCTACGGAGTGAAATCCAGGACAGCCTGGGCTGTTACACAGAGAAACTCTGCAAAAAAAAAA